CCCCCCCTGGTTTTTTTTTTTTTTTTTTTTTTTTTTACAAAAGATCACTCAGAGAAGATGTTCTATACTCAGGGGATTAACCAAGCCTCCTCCAAGCTCCCAATCCATCAGTGAACATACTTTACTCCAGAAGTTGAGCCACTGTCATCTATTCCATAAAATCTGACTATTTTAGCTTCCATTACATTTCTATCATATTGGGAATAGAAAAATTATTATCTGATATCAGGCCTAAATGTGACCTGTGAGATCATATCACCAGGGCTAGAAAATGGGCCTGGCAGGTTAACTCGGCAGGTGGATGGGAGTTACTTGGGCTGAATTGGAATGCTGACCATTACATTACAACACACATTCTCGTTACCTGCTGGGCCTCTAAAGACATATACATTCATAACCTCTGACCTTTCCCAAGAGTTATAAGGTGACTAAATTGAATTTGGATGCCTAAATATGGAGTGGAGAGATGAGAGAAAACTTATTAAGTCCATTAACCATTAGAAATGAATTGCCACAGAAGACCATCCATGGTAGATTGCCAAAATTGTCCCAATTCTTTCCCTGCCCTGCATCGCATGGCTTTCCTTGTAACATTTTTGCTCTTGCACATTGACTTTGGACTTGGCTAGGTAACTTACTTTGGCCAATGTACATCTTTTTAAAAAGTTATGACAGGACTATTTATCTGCTCCCGACATATATTTCGACACCATTCTTCAACAGGGCTTGTGTTGTGAAGTGACTTTATGCTGAACTGTACTGATTCTGGTTCTCTTGAGAAAAACAACACATAGGTTGATTCAGCTGTGCAGTCACTTCTTTTATTATTTCTTTATGTTCTTACCAGATCTGAAAATGCCATCTGTTTGAAGATTTTTTTCTTTTTCTTCAAATCCCTAAAGAATAGGTGGTCCACTTCTCTCCCCATTCTTTTTTTACTTCCTATCCGCACCAGTATGAGTCTACTGAATGTGTTTTTCCAATATTTGAGAGTCAAATAGAGACATATATACATTCATAATTTTAGAATTTACATTCTACTTTTTCAGTTCATTATAAGCAGATGACAGCCCTGACCCAAGTAGATGACACTGATACCTCCCATAGTATCTTAATAAAATCCTAACGACTGGAGCCTTAATTTAATAGGTGACAAAAATGGTAGTTTTGAATATCACAGGACATCAATATTTGATGATTTTCCAGATGACAGACTTTCACTTGTGGTTTTAATTCATTCCTCAAGTTGTTTCTCACTCAGTACAAGGTTTTCACATCACTGAGCCAATGTGAAAGTTCCCATACATTTCTTACCAGCTTTGTGAGATACATGTTTTGGCTCATCCCTACAGAATATTCGAGCATGCTTACTTGGGCAAACTACATAATAGGAACATTCCAAATTTGTACCTTTTGGCTTTACCGATGTGTGTTTATTATCAGTTATGCCCCAAAGTGCTATCACCATGTAGCATCATGTAATACAGATTTAGGAAGTTTCTGATATTCATGATTAAGAGAACAGGTGAATCATTAGGATGAAAGGTCTATTATTTCTTATCGGTTCACAGATCTGGTTTGATATGAAGCTGGCCTCCAATGAAGACAGACAAACTCGCTAGTGGATTCAACCAACAGACTGATCTTCAGTGTAGACCCAAACACCAGAATGGCTAAATACCAGAATTGATCTGGTATCTTTCAAGATATGCCCTTTGGCCATTTTCCCCCTGGGTATGTTATTTCCATTGGGGCCTCTCTGGAACCAAAACGATATCTAGTTATCAATGGATTCAGTGAGGAGACATCTATTGAGCTCTTAATACCTCTCAGACCCTGTGCAGACCTGGGGGATACGGAAAAAAAGTAAGACCTGGACCCTGGTTTCAAGAAATTCTCACTCTTATTAGAATAAGTTGACATTTTCCTGAAACTATATCTCACCACTTTCTGCTGTTCATGTAAAGTCTAGAAGAATCAGCAGATGAATAATCTTTTCTTCTTCTGTTTCATGTTTCATTTATAATATATAGTAATTTTGATCAAACCTCTTCCTTGCCACATATAACACTTTTCACTGTCGAATAAAATCTTTCATTAAAAAAATATTACCATAGTACTTTGTATTTTATAGTTTGGAGAAAAATCTAGTCATAGACCACACAGTTCAAGAAGCACTTTTGAATTATTATTATTATTCTAAGTAAAGGCTTTCCATTCTCACACCTCCAGCCTTTTCCTTTCAGCTTAGGAACTGTTAGCCACTCTTACTTCCCTTTTCATCATCTCTCCCAGTGTTCATGCCCCAGTTGCCACTGCAGTTTCTTTTCTTCCAAATCTCGTAATATGTAAAACTCATCATTCAGGAAACTGAATGACCTTGGGGAACTTCTGGTCATTATAACATCTAAAGAAACCAAATCAATATATCCTTCATTTGCAAACTACTTGGTAACATTGGAATCCAACATAATATGCTATTAACGTTAACGTTAATATTTTTGTTATTATTGTCACCATAATTAAGATGGTACCAAAAGTATAATATGTTATGGAGCTATAGATGCTAGATCCATTTCTAATAATAAATTTTCCTTCCAGCTCTAACATGAAAACAGATAAGAAAATTTGCTTGATGAATGAGATAAATTCTATATTGCTTATCATAAAAGAGTATCTAAATACTTAGCTGGAGATGGTCATATTTAATTCTTTGGACCTTCCTTTCATTCCTTCATCTGGATTTGTGTGCAACAAAATGCTCTGCATTTCTCCAAAAGTATGCCTCCAACCTGCTCCCTCGGGGCCTTGCAAAAGCTCCAGGTTGTGGGTTCAGGACTTACTTGCTGCTGAGGCAGCGCCTCAGCGAGTAGGAGGCCCCTCCACCGCAGGTGCGTGAGCACTCACTCCACGGGCCCCAGGCGTCCCACAGGCCGTCCCGGTCCTCCTCAGAGCGTGCGGTCCTGGAGCTCTGTGAGGAACGAGAGGATGGTCAGTATGAGTCCTCAGTGAACGTGGAAATGTGCGCCCTAAAGCGTGGGTGGTCTGTGTATCTGTACATGCTGGCCTTGCTGAGGATGAAGATGGGCTCAGATTCTTTCCAATTTAATACTGTGCATACGTTTAGGGAGAAGGATATTTGAGTTCAAGGACCCTGGACTGTGACTGAAAAGGGCAAGGGACTGCACTTATGGGAGTGAACAGAAAAAGGTGGCCAGAAATAAGAATCTGGGTCAGAGGAAGATAGATTGCACTGAAGTCACAGTTTTGCCCAGGGTTCATGAGTCTACTCTTTTGTTGCTTTGTGAAGAGAGAAGCTGCACTCAGAGATGTGTCTTCTCTGAGAAGACTGACATGCGCATACCAGCGCTGCTTTCCAAAATTTAACATTTTATACAACTGACTTTTTGTTTTAAATGAAGCAGCATCATTCCTAGTGTTCAGATGTGTTAATGAGAATAATTGCATGAAGTAACTTCAGTAATGCAAGAATTGGCTCCAGACAGACAGATTTGCTTGTTATTGCCAGACTCCCTAGTGAAATCTGCATTTACTGTAAGGAAAATTGTTATGTGTAGGTCTCCATGTAGTGCTTCACATTTCTTAGAAGAGTTAAAGAGAAAATCTGTGCCAGTTACATAATAGAATAATAATAATAGTTAATAGAACACGTTCTGAAGTTAGAAACTGCCTGGGTGGGCTTCCCTGGTGGCGCAGTGGTTGAGAGTCCACCTGCCGATGCAGGGGACACGGGTCCGTGCCCCGGTCCGGGAAGATCCCACATGCCGTGGAGCAGCTAGGCCTGTGAGCCATGGCCACTGGGCCTGCGCATCCGGAGCCTGTGCTCCGCAACGGGAGAGGCCACAACAGTGAGAGGCCCGCGTACCGCAAAAAAAAAAAGAAACTGCCTCGGTTTGGATATGGATTCTGTTTTGTAAGTAATTATATGTCCTTGTACAAGTAACTTACCACCTCTTTACACTTCAATTTCCCTTTCTATAAAATGGGGATAATATTATAACCACAACACTACATCCACGTGTGTGCATGCCCACCCACACACACACTGTAGAAAGACTAGTTATACAAACTAAACTTAGGACTAGTTTCAGAGTAAATCACAAATAAATATTACCTATAATTATTATGTTATTATAAACTGAGAATGTGTCACATATGTACGTTCACAGTTGTATTAGTCTGCTCATGTTGCCGTAACAAGAACACCAGCCTGGGTGTTTTAAACAATAAAAATTAATTTTTCCACAGTTCTGGAGTCAAAGTCCGAGACCAGGAAGCCAGCATGGTTGGCTCCCAGTGAAGACTTTCCCTTTGGGTTGCAGATGGCTTCTTTGTCACTACGTGGTCACATGACCTCCACTTTATATAAGAGAGGGAGAGCAAGCTCACTGGTGTCTCTTGTTAGAAGGGCACTAATCTCACCATAAGGGCCCCACCCTCACCACCTCATCTAACCCTAATTATCTCCTAAAGGCTCCATCTTCAAATAACATCACATTGGGCAGGAGGGCTTCAACATATGAATTTGGGGGGGGATGCCACTCAGCCCATGGCAAGAGTTCTACAAGTAGCTAGTGTAAACTGTGGCCAAGTTACTTTACTGAATAAACCAAGTGATACCCGTATAGTAAAGGTGGTATCGCTTCATGTCAAGAACATACACATGACAAATGTTAAAATTTCAAAACTATTTATATTTGGAAAAAGCAAACTGTAAAGAAAAAGTGCATGATAGGCAATATGACGGTTCATCTTCAGTTTTTTCTCTAAAGAGAGAGCATAGGCAGTGTATAATACTGGAAGAGCATGGAATACAGAGGCGACAGGAGGGTAACCTTTTATAAAGCATTGTGAGAACTTGAGATGATGCAAGTAAAGTGACCAGCATATAGAAGGCTCTATAAATGGTAGCTCTTAAAGACTTTCTCACACCCTATCTAGTTATACTCAAGGCTATATCATCCAATTAGGAGGAGCTCCTGAAAAAGAAAAGCACATTGTTTCACCCCTAGGAAACTATTTATTTTGCAGTAATGGGATTCTTTATAAATATGTTGCTGTGGGGCTCATTTGTCAAATTGACTACTCCTTGGAACTTTTACTGCCTGTATAAATGGAGCCACAAACCTGGCCTTAGAGTATTATATCAAGGATTGTCTAGCTGGTGCATGCTATATTTAGAGTCCTAAATCATTTGAAATGAGCAGTAGGATAGATAGCGGTTAGAAGTAGGGACTACAGACATACTCAGCCTGGAGTGGAATACTGGCTCCACAGCCTCCCAGCTGTGATGTTCTCGTGCTTCACTTTTCTTATCATAGAATGGAGATAATAAAACTATCTACATCACTGAGACATTGTGAGGATTAAAATAGTTAATATATAAATAGCACATAAGACAGAAATAATCCAAATGTCCATGGGGGGATGAATGGATAAACAAAATACGCTATAGTCATACAATGGAATATTATTCAGCCTTAAAAAGAAAGGAAATTCTGACACATGCTACACCATGGATAAACCAAGGACATTATGCTAAGCGAAGTAAGCTAGATACAAAAGGATGAATATTATATGATTTCACTTACAGGAGGTACCGAGAGTAGTCAAATTCATAAGGACAGAAAGTCGAATGGTGGTTGCTAGGGGTTCGGGGGAGGGGGGAATGGGGAGTTATTGTTTAATGGATACAGAATTTCAATTTGGTAAGAAGAAAATAATTCTGGAGATCGATGGTGGTGAAGGCCGCATAACAATGTGAATGTATTTACTGCCACTGAACTGTACACTTAAAAATGAGTAAGACAGTATATTTTATGTTATATATACTATGCCACAATAAAAACAAATACATATGCACATTTTAAAAAGCTCATAGGGCCTAAATAATAAATACTATGTAAGCATTTGATGCTATTATCAACATTATTATTTAATATTACTTATTAGCATCATGTGTAGCGGTGCTTTCTTTTTTTCTGCTGAGCTTAGTTGAAACACTGCACTATGTAAGGTTCATCTTTCTTAAAACCCTGACTTTCCCACAGCAGAACCTTCCAGTCTCCTGCCACATGACACTGACCTGGTGATATGACCTGCCAGGAGCCTGAGGTTCCTATAAAATGCAGCATTGAATAGGAAACAGCAACACATTGGTTACCCCCAAACTTGTCCTTTCTAAAGGAAGTATTTACTGAGCTCCAAAGCCTGGTTTTTAGGATCAATAAAGCCAATCTCTAACCACAGCAATACAGGGTATTCTGTTTCCAAGCTTAATAGGCTAGTGAGGGAGGAAAGAACCTTTGCCATTTAAGTATACATACCGAGTCTCTTGCTCACCCAGTAAATTCATTCCTCAGATTTTTAAAAAGTTTATTGTGCACCTCCTGGCTCCCATTTTGTTTGCTCTGTGTGACTGGAAGATGGTTCTGTTGAGAGAGTATTTGCCTGATGCAGTAATTATTTCCGTGACACACATGCATTGTACAATGCAATTTCCCTTATTTTATTAAAATTCAATCTGACTGAGATGAAAACCAGCAACACAAATGCTAGCCTGCATGAAGTAATTAAACTAAGCAAGATGAGTGATTACAAATTATGATACTATCCAATTACTACAACTGAAAAAAAAAATTCCACATGCGGCATTCACATGTGAACTCTACTCTTCCATGTGAGTAAGAACACCAGAATGCCAAATCCTGCAGCAATTTCTCTCTAGCAGCTCTCTGGATAAGATATTTAGGAAATAATGTATGGCTGAGATTTGGTTTTTCTAGAGAAGCAAATTGTTTCAAACTCTGTGCTAAAGTTGCTTGATATTTTTCATGTGCCATGTCTGGAGAGGCACTAAAACGGCTCTAAGGTGAGGGTTCACTGACTAAACATCTTACCTCATCACCAGTTACAAGTTTCCACACAACTAGACATACTAGGTGCCCACATTTCTCGGAAGGACATTGCACACTAGCCCAGAAGAAAGTCATGGACCTATTCCTTAAACTGGAACGAACTCCAACTTTTCTTTTAACCAGCAGAATAAACGTAATTCATTTCAACTGAATTCATGTTTAATGTTAAGAGAAAGTGATTTTCCTCCTCTTTAACTGTGCCAGATTTTTACATCTATAACCAGAAATGACATTTCAGCAATGCCTTGCAGGTCATTTAAGACGTAGAAGCATTTGCTTCTTACAGTTGTTAAGAGGGCCTTCATTATAAATAACTTTCATACTTAGTCCAGGTGGGACTCATGTTTATTACTCTCTTATTGTGGAATGTGCATTCCACTTCACTTCAAAGCAGCATTTTTTAAAAAGTGTAAACTTTGAATTGCATGTAGGAAGAAAAACTGAAGCAGAAGAAAACAGGAATAGATAATGAGTTGCCTAGAGGCAATGCTGATTGCTTCTGAAACCAAAATTCTAAGCTTTCCAGTTACATCCCAACCAATGTTTCTTGATTTGATCCCCATCACATAAACCTAATATTTTAATGTCAATATCTCAGAAACAAGGTCATGAATGTTATAAAAACACAGTGATCAAAAGATTATTCCTGACCACTGCTAGAAATTTCAGCAACAGTGTCAGGTGAGACGATGGTCTTTAGCTACTAATTGACAGAGGACAAAAGTGCAACCATTAAATTCTGTATGTAAGCCAAGGTTCCACCAGTACGAGGTTTATCAGAAAAGGTCAAAACTGCATCTGATATTGAACTTGAGGGGAAAGCCCATTTTAAATTTCCTTCTTAGTATAGCACTTATGTTTTTCTATAGTCACTGGCTGGGTTAGAATGGATAACTGGCACCTCCTCTGAGTTGACATTTCAGAAATCTAGCGAACACTGAGAGGAGAAAGGCCTGAGTCTTGGTTCTATAATCCTACGAAAATCAAATACTTCCCTTGAGTTATTCAATTTAGAAAAAGTCTAGCTATTTCTAGATCTTTGGTGCCACATGATGACCTTTGAATACAGCACTGATGACGACTCCTAAATCAACTACAGTTGACCCTTTAACACTTGGGGGTGAAGGGTGCTGACCTGCACTCAATTGAAAATCTAGGGTAACTTATGGCTGGCCCCCTCTACCCGCAGTTCCTCCACATCCACAGGCCATGTAGAGCTACAGTCTTTACTATTGAAAAAATATGATCTAAGTGGAGCCACGCACTTCAAACCTGAGTTGTTTATAGGTCAACTGTAGTTTCGTGTTAGAAAATTCAGCCATCAACTTCTCAGTTTCTGTCCACCCTTGCTCCTGGTCAGTTAAGTGACTCTAAGCCTCAGTCCATGCCAACTGCATGCAATATAGACTGTGGCCGACATCACTGTATACCTCCTAGGAATATTCCAATAAGATTAGAAGAGCTTCTCTAAATCCATCAACCTCAGAATGGTGTCATTTTCTCGCTATTACTGCTTATCTAAACGTGGTTTTCATCTGATCATTTTGTGGTTAATTTCAGAGGCAACTGCAGCAGCCAAGTCTCAGGTGAACAGCTTTAAGCCTGACAGCTACAAGCAGTTAACACAGAGTAATCACATGAAGCAAGAGTTTCCCTGCACCTCACAGCCCAATAGACACTTAACCTCAGAATGACCTCCTATGTACCTCCTTAGCCAGAACCCTCTTCCACTGGAACCTGAACAGGTTATCAAAGACTTAGGAAAGATGTTGTAGGACGAAGCACAAATTAGCAATAAGAAGACAGAATTATATCTACTCGGAGATACATACACAGAGTATTTGGAAAATATTTTTTCCAAATGTTGTAACAAGAGGTCAAGTTATACAGAACACAATGAAAACGAAAGTAGGTTCTGAGGAAATGGATGGCAGGTTTTTGTAGAATTGAAGTCTTAGAGCAAATGAAGTTATCTTATAAGCAAAGTGTTTTTCAGACATCAACAGATTCTCAAAAGTAGCAAAATGGGTAATGGGATGAATGGAAGAGTGGTTCTTACTCTTTCAAAATCAGCAAGGAGGTTTTCCTTTTCTCCCAGACAGACAGCATTTAGCTTAAGCCATCTGGACCTGTGTACGTGACTGTACTAAATGGATGTTACACACCTCGAAATTAAAAAGCGGGGGGAGCAACTCCTCCAGTGATGAGAGAACCACTTTTCCTGTGGTGTGCCCATGAAATGTGGAGAAATCTATACACAGGAACATCCCATCTGTGTACCAAGCTTTGGAAACGAATTTGCACACTTCATTTTTAGCTTCCCTACATCAGGTCCCTATAAATCTTACCTAATCCTTGGCTTCTTTAAGAACTTGGAATATGGGTTCTGCCGCCAACTGTACATGGTAGGAGTTGTGATGCTCTGCTCCTGAGAGCTTACAGACGTTAAGAAGTAACTGGGCTCTTGTAAAAGTCCATTAGCTTTTTGAGGTACTTTCTTAAAGAGCAGGGTGTGTGGATGGACACTGAGGCATGCGCCTTCCCAGATATTTGCTGCTGGCTTTGCTGAGGAAATTTGCATCATCTGGTTCTTATCACAGCTCCACTGCTGGGGTATATGATGAGCTGACAGTGACACAGTGCACAGTCTTTCAGAGGCCACTACGTGAAGCCTGTCCCTTGCTACTGAGGAGAAAAGTCAGTTCTGTAACAGGGTGGAAAAGCTATCTAGGCCACAGCAGGACTTCTGGGTACCTCTCCCCCTTTCCCTATTGCTGTGTCCATGCACGCACACACAGGTGAGCCTTTCACCTTGCTGTTAGGGCACCTAGCTGCGCCTAAACCTAGGAGGTGGCTGGTGAGGGGAAAATGCTGGGATTTATTAAGTACCTATGTGCCAGGCAGTATGCTAGAATTTACGTGGATGCTCATATTTAATCCTCAAGATGAGCCATGTCAGGTAGGAGAAGTTTTTCCTATTTTACCAATAAGAAAATTGAGGCTCAGGGAGGTTGAACACCTTGCATCAAGGTACAGGAGAAAGAGCACAGGCTTGGCGGTGGGACAGACGTTCCTAGACATATGTTAGTAAACTTGACGAGAGCCCTTTTTCAGATCTCTTTGAGCCTGGGTTTCACCATCTGTGAAATGGGGATATTTATGCTTCTTTTCCTAGGGTGATGGTTAAGATTAACTAGGAAATCATATGTAAGGTGCCTAGTGTAGTTTCTAGCACGTTGGTATTAATTATTTCATCTCTCCACTCAGGTCGCAAACATTTGTCCCCCTGCCCCACTCCCCTCTCCCCTTGCCAAATCACACAGCTAGTACCTGGTGGGACCACGTTGGTTTTTGTTTTTTTTAACATCTTTATTGGAGTACAATTGCTTTAGAGTGCTGTGTTAGTTTCTGCTGTATAACAAAATGAATCAGCTATATGCGTACGTATATCCCTACATCCCCTCACTCTTGCATCTCCCTCCCACCCTCCTTACCTCATCCCTCTAGGTGGTCACAAAGCACCGAGCTGACATCCCTGCGCCATGCAGCTGCTTCCCACTAGCTATCTATTTTACATTTGGTAGTGTATATATGTCAATGATACTCTCTCACTTCGTCCCAGCTTACACTTACCCCTCCATGTCCTCAAGTCCATTCTCTACATCTGCATCTTTATTCCTGTCCTGCCCCTAGGTTCATCAGAACCAGTTTTTGTTTTGAGATTCCATATATATGTTTTAGCATATGGTATTTGTTTTTCTTTTTCTGACTTATTTCACTCTGTATGACAGACTCTAGGTTCATCCACCTCACTACAAATAACTCAACTTCGTTTCTTTTTATGGCTGAGTAATATTCCATTGTATAAATGTGCCACATCTTCTTTAACCATTCATCTGTCAAGGGACACTTAGGTTGCTTCCATGTCCTGGCTATTGTAAATAGGGCTGCAGTGAACATTGTGGTACATGACTCTTTTTGAACTATGGTTTTCTCAGGGTATATGCCCAGTAGTGGGACTGCTGGGTCGTATGGTAGTTCTATTTGTAGTTTAAGGAACCTCCATACTGTTCTCCATAGTGGCTGTACCAATTTACATTCCCACCAACAGTGCAAGAGGGTTCCGTTTTCTCCACACCCTTTCCAGCATTTATTGTTTGTAGATTTTTTGATGATGGCCATCCAGACTGGTATGAGGTGATGCCTCATTGTAGTTTTCATTTGCATTTCTCTAATGATTAGTGATGTTGAGCAACCTTTCATGAGTTGGTTGGCAATCTGTATATCTTCTTTGGAGAAATGTCTATTTAGGTTTCCTGCCCATTTTTGGATTGGGTTGTTTGTGTTTTAGATATTGAGCTGCATGAGCTGCTTGTAAATTTTGGAGATTAATCCTTTGTCAGTTGCTTCATTTGCAAAGATTTTCTCCCATTCTGAGGGCTGTCTTTCTGTCTTCTTTATGGTTTTCTTTGCTGTGCAAAAGCTTCTAAGTTTCACTAGGTCCCATTTATTTTTGTTTTTATTTCCATTACTCTAGGAGATGGGTCAAAAAAGGATCTTGCTGGGCTTCCCTGGTGGCACAGTGGTTGAGAGTCCGCCTGCCGATGCTGGGGACACAGGTTCGTGCCCCGGTCC